ATATTAATTGACTGGTGTGTAAATGAAGGTTTACTTAGTAGCCATTGTAAGTGTCCTGTTTGTACGAAGGAAATGTGCATGGTCGAACGCCTCAGGACACCGGCACAACGGAGGATAGTTTTGACTCTTATTTTTGTGAATTTATGTGGCCACGCTAGTATACAGATTCTAGTTTAGATAATTTTAGGAAGTTTTTGGATGCTGTTAAGGAATTTTGTTTGACACTGAAGACACGGAAATTCGCAAATAAGATAGGTGGATATTTCCTTCGTGTAGTGCTAAGATGAATTTCTTTTTTTATGTTATTGCATTATTTGATTTAAAATGTAGTTTATTGAGATTAGATATTTTTATTAGCTGCTCTTTTGACTTTTTTAGTGAATATAGATCGACGTATACATGGACAAAGTCAAAGTTTGTGCTTAATCGATGATGTTTTTTTAAGTGAAAATAGGTCGATGTGTATATGGATACCAAGTTTGTGCAATTCTTTAAACTGTTATTTGTCTACCAGCTATTTTTGGCAATAGAATTGCTGCTCCAGAAAACGAAAATAACAAGTCAAAGAATTACACAAACTTGGTGTCCATGTTCTGCCAAAAAACACCAAGGGACACCCCCGTAAATATATTTTATATTTTTACCAGCATTATGTAGTAAGGAAGAACTCGCATAAAATGGGTTCTGCGCTGGTTTTCGGTGCGATTGCGTGTTGTATGGCAACCCTAATGACGTTGAAAAATCTTTTGCTGGAGTTCCTTGGTTCGCGTCATGCTCTGTGTTTGAGTAGCTAAGGGGATAAAATGGTGGAAGTTGTTGTATTGAAGTTCGGCAAAAGGAAAAATCGTCGTGGCCATCCTATTGAGGGGCAGTGGATATTTGGAGGTGTGGAAAGAGGGTCTATGAGATTATTTTTAGTGGCTGTGCATGATAGAAGTAGGGATTTGTGATTATTTGCTATTTTATTTATTTGTGAACCGTAGTATGAATTTTCTGGATAGTGTGTCTGGCTGTCTTCTGCTGTTCGAAAAAGCATTAATTCATGGCAAGTGCATTTTATTATTTTATTCTTGTTCTTATTTTGTAGAATGTTATGTTCATTGTTTTTTTAGTATGAATTTTTGTCGTTATTGTTTTTTTTTTAATTGTTTGAAATTTATTTTAGTTATTTTGTTGATTAGTGCATACCGTCTGAATTGTGCAATTTGTAGATGTTTTTTTAAAGTTGAAACAGAACGCTTTATACATGGTATTCTTTGAAATTTCTTGTTGTTATATTAATTTATCAAAGTGAGGTGTGCGTAGTTCGTAGATTCGTTTGTTGCCTAAATTGTGCAATTCGTAGATCAAGTTGAAACAGGACGCTGTGTACATGGTATTGTTTGAAATTTGTTATGTTAATTTATTAAAGCGAGGTGTGCATAGTTCGTAGATTCGTTCATTGCCTAGATTATGGCATTCGTAGATGTTTTTTTTAAGTTAAAACATATCGCTGTGCACATGGACTCTTGTCAAATAATTTTGGTTAGAAACTTTAAGGTTTTGCTATCTAAATTTTTTGTTTTTGTTTTGGATTTTTAGCTTAAATTGTGTGTTCAAAACGTGGTTTTTGCATTCGCGAAAACCGTGTTTTGGAGACATTTTTGGCTTAAAGTTCATAATGTAGACAAAAAATTTAGATAGCAATATGGCAGCGTGGAGTTTCTTGCCAAAAATGTTTGGCGAGAAATTTGGCGACAGAGTAGTTCCAAAAGTAAAATGCAAGAACACAAGAAAATAAGGAACTACTCTGATTGTTTCTTTGATTTTGTCGTTTTAAAAGATCTGCCATAGTTGAGTCAGCACCCTGCTGAATTGTAGTAAACGAGATGTCCAATCTACTAGACCATCAAAGACACAGATTTGGATTTTCTATTTCATAGTTATTGAAATCATAATGGTATGTTTGTTTAAATTAGTACTGTTTATAAATGTGTTAAAAATAAATTCTGATAAGCTAAGAAATGATTTATTTTCTATTAATTATGAACTATAAATAATGTAACCAATTTTCTTCATAGTATTTACTAAACATTTTGGAACTACTCTGATATGTGCCCTCAAGTCGCCAAATATTTTTGGTGAGAAACTTCACGCTGCCATATTACTATCTAAATTTTTTGTCTACATTTTGAACTTTTAGCCTAAAATGTCTCCAAAAACGCAGTTTTCGCACATGCAAAAACTACGTTTTAAACACACAATTTAGCTAAAAATCCGAAACAAAAACAAAAAATTTAGATAGCAAAAACGTAAAGTTTCTAACCAAAAATATTTGACGAGAATCCATGCACACAGCGACATGTTTTAACTTAAAAAAGCATCTACGAATTTAACAATGTAGGCAATGAACGAATCTACAAACTACGCACACCTCGCTTTAATAAATTAACATAACAACAATAAATTTCAAAGAATACCATGTACACAGCGTTCTGTTTCAACTTTAAAAAAAATCTACGAATTGCACAATTCAGATGGTACGCACTAATCAACAAAATAACTAAAATAAATTTCAAAAAATTCAAAAAACAACAATAACAACAGAACTTCATACTAAAACAACAATGAACATAACATTCTACAAAATAAGAACAAGAGGTACTTTTCCGTTTTGCCGGCGCAAGCGATAAAGTTGCCAATAATGGTACAACCGATGCCAAACGGAATATTCCTGCTGGTAACCTTTTACGCCTCATTTTCAAAACAAGTCGCAGCTTTTTCTTATCAGATTGATTGTTTCTTTCAATACTGGCATATAATTACATAGAATTTTTATCAGATAGTTCAGTTTTATGTCTAAAGCCATTTTCGGTAATTAGGTCAATTAGGATGCAATCACAGCGCTTACCCGAAGCCGAAAATATAGAAAAGAAAAGTCAAGGGTTAAATTCATCAATTCTAATGAGAATGCATTAGCGAAGTAAAGCACTGCAGTTTTACATAATTTCTGAAGCTATTCGTACGCATTGAAATATTTCTTGCATTTAAACTTGTGTTCCAAATTAAGATTTAACTTGAAATTAATGTAGATAATTACGGAGAGCATTAGATTTTTGTAGAGTAGTTTACGTGAGATGAGATCGCTTGGAGTCACGTGATATGAACCGGCGAATTAGGATGTTGAACCATGAAAGCATAGTAAATTCTTAAATTAATGTCTTTTTACAAATTTATTGTCTTTATTTATTGGCTTTTCATAAAGTTTTAAGCGATATTAAAATGTTTATGCCTTCAAAAAAAAAAAAAAGAATTCTTAGAACTAAAATTTTTTATGTGTATACTGTATGTTGTCGCCAATAAAGTCTGCTTGCCGAGATTTGCGCCGGCGAAACGGAAAAGTACCGAACAAGAATAAAATAGAATGCACTTACCATTAATGCTTTTTCGAACAACAGAAATACCAATTTCATACCGCCTTTAACATACCGCCACGTAATCACTATCGTATTTATATGACAGCCAGACACACTATCCAGAAAATTCATACTATGGTTAAATAAAATAACAAATAATCACAAATATGATATGGCTCATATTTCTTCTGTTTAATAATATAAAAAAATATGAAGAACAAACAGCAATAATCTCCCATACCTTCTTTCCACACCTCCAAATACCCATTGCCCCTCAACAGGATGTCCACGATGATATTTCCTTATGCCGAACTTCAATTCAACAATTTTCATCATTAAATCTTCCCCTCCTAGCTTCTCAGACACAAAGCATGACGGGAACCTACGAACTTCAGCGAAAGATTTTTCAACGTCAACAGGGTTGGCATACAACACGCAATCGCGCCAAAAACCAGCGCAGAACACATATCGCCACATTTGGTGAAATTAGGGCGTATATCAGAGTTGTACCAAAAATAATATAAAAAAATATGAAGAACAAACAGCTAGAATGGGATTGAGAAACAGACTGAATATTTTTGAACAACATGATTTAAAAACGGAATTAAGAAATTTTATGCCAAATATTAAAAAAACTGCATAAATACATCTAGTGCAGCACAAAAGTGTGTGATTTTATTTCTGAAAGCTTTTTTATACTTGTAAAATTAAAAATAATAATGCAAAAATAATTAAACATAAAACTAATAAACAATTTTTTAAAAACATTTGTTCATATTCTTAATCTAATTGTTATCGTTCAGTTACTTATCTGCAATTATTTGTATTATGATTATGTTGTAAACTGTACAATACAGACAAAAATATAAAATGTATGAGTAAAACCATTCCTTTAAAAAGAGTCAAAGTAAGAAAAAGGTCGGGAATTCCTGGTTTAGATGGTTGCTCTGAAATATTACATAGTGTTCATAACAAAAACATTTATTCCATGTGGTTTCAAAATCAGACTACTGATGTGTTGATGTTCTGATAAGATTATTGCTAGCAGACATTAGGCAAAGCACTCTTTTAGGAAAACACTTATCACCTGGTTTATTACTTTCAAGAAATAATGTTGACTTGTTTATATGGACTCAAAAGTCCTTTCAGAAACACAGAACCTGAATTTATCTATCTATATATATTTCTGAAGAAGGAAACCCTATACAGCTGTCTCAAAGCAATATACTGAAGATGACATCCAAAACACAGAATTTTAAAAACAGAAGAAATTTTGAAATTAACTGATTTTAGAACCTAAATAGTATATGAGCCATATCATATTTGTGTACTGTTGGGTTTTCGAAAGTCACTACTCCAAATAAATATATCATATGAAGAAAAACAAATAATTTTTTATATTTCTAGAAGTTTACACTTTTAGAATTCGTAGAATAAGCATTTTTATGAGAAATCAAACAGTATTCCTAACATTTTTAAGATCAAAATCATGCTTAAAAAATACCAGAATTCAATCACAGCAGAATGGAAGCACATAGTTTATACATTACCACTGAAAGTTATAAATCAAATAATATCATTTTGAAAGGAAATAAAAATACAAACCTGATTTTTCATGCTTGTAATGACAATGGGGCCGAAGACAAAGACCAGCTTTCGCATACGGACATAAAATGTTCTTAAAGAAACCACACGAAGGTAACATGTTTTAATTTTAAATTTCAGATATCACAAAAAACTCACAATAACATTCAGTATCATTTTCGTAATGTTGTAATTATATAAATTTTGGCTCAATTCTTCAGAGCCAGGAGTTACATACTGATTGTTCTCACACATATTTCTTAACTCCTTCTGTCAAAAGGGAAATTATAATAAGATTAAAATTATTTTAGGGATATAATTCTCAACCGATGGCAAATTCAATACTCAAACAGCTAAAATATGATCAGGTCAAAAAAAAAAAAAAAAAAAAACATCGAACAAAATAACATACTGACACCCATTAACACATTTTTAACCACAAAATTCTCAGTACGACCAATGCGCTCACAACAAAAACATAAGCATGTTGCCAATTTATTCCTCTCAATATTCCTTTTCAGGCATATTTTGTTGGCAATGTTCACAAAGTTAATACATTCCACAAGAGAAAAAGAGGAAAAATGTAGTCACATGGGTTATGAACAGGAATCTCTGCAAGTTGTGTGTTTACGATGCAAGATGTGGTCACTAAAATTAATTTATTGATTTTTTTAATTTAGAAATTTATAGCGATTGCGAAGAAGGTACTTTTTCATTAGAGCGGCGTCAGTTAAAAAAGTGTATTACTTTTTTTTGTCACCAATTGTTGCCAAGTATAAAATTATAAACTAATAATAAACTTCAAAAGACTAAAAAAATTAGTGCTGTAAAAAATATTTTTTAAGTTCATCATTAAAGAAAGTAAATTTTTCCTTTTAATTTTTTTAATCTACAATATTCTTCTACACATAAATAAAAACTAACAAAACAAAACGAAGTTTGATCTAAACCGGTGGCACAAAGACTATTCTACTCATAAATAAAAAAATAACAAAACGAAACGAAATTCAGTATAAACAGGTGGCATAAAATTACAAATATCGCTCAATATTACAGAAAAAATTTCAGTTTTTTAATAGCTTTGATTTTTCGCCCAGTGGCAAAAAGACGTAGGCTTAGTGCATAACAAGACAAATTTTTTTTTCTACTTTGTCAAGTGGAATAACTTGGCGGGAAGAACTTGGTAGAATATCACTATATGAATTCGTAATTAGAACTCTACTTTGATTACCGTTTACAGTGCCATTTCAGAGTCCTTAAATAACATTCTGGCTTTTATATCACTGGGTCAAAGAGGAATGCCAACTGTGCTGAACTGTGAGAAAGAAATAATATTTGAGGGAAACGCAGCAGATTAGTTTTCAGCGAAGTGTGTCATATAGTGAAGAAACTAAATGTAACAAGGGATGTAAAAAAAAGTGTTATGAATATATGTATGCTTGTCTGCAGAGAAAAGGTATGACATATATATAGTATATCATAATTAAATTAAATGTGAATATGCTTCTTCATATCGGACAGAAATGTCATATGCGGTGAGTCATTTTGAAAAGCTCGTGGATAAACATATAGGAGAAAACAATTTGTGTGAAAGCGACTAAGCATTTGAAATAAGCAGGATTTTTAAGTATAATATATTTATTAACACAACAAAATCGTCATCCTTGTACATCTTAAACATGTTATAGTGTAACTAAGATTCACTTGGACAATTTTGGTTTTACATTTAAATGCGAAGCTGCATCGTGGACGGAAAAACATCCATCATAAGTTATTTTAAAAATAGAACAAATTTTTAATTTATTGAGTAAGAGGGTAATTTTGTGAAACCTTAAAAATGTTTTCATTGACTAGAAATTCATTAGTATTTTTGGATAAAATGAAGAATCTTGATGAGCAATTCTGTTAGCACTGTATAGTCTCATCTACCTGTGCATAGGAAAAACCCAGAATATATGCAAATTAATTTCCTGTTTTTTGTTGATGCACTTTCTTGAAATGTCATTTCCTAAATCTCTCCATACCAGTATTTGTTTTCATACGGAAAGCAAGACTGCATAGCTGACTTGTTTATTATTATTTTTAATACTGCAATTAGTTTTTAGTAAAATGTCCTGTATTATCTGTATTTGAAATCTGGTAATGATAGGTATATTACCAAACATTTAAAGTAAAAAACTGTTTAAATATAACTGTTGCATTTCATACAGGAAAGGAAACTCATCTATGTAATATATATAAGAAATGGTTTTCTTGAAAGAGTACTTCAAGTATACGTATGCTTATTCACACAGAAGAGAAACCTTGTGTGCTTGAGGTATGTAACAATACATCTCTTTTAAAAGGGTAACTTATATATATGCTTATTCACACCAGACAGAAACCTTATGTGTATGAAGTATGTAAGTCATCATTTAGCCAAAAGAGTACTTTAAATATGCATATACATATTCACTCAGGAGAAGAGCCGTCTCATTTTTGTGAGATATGTGAAAAGTCCTTTAGTCAAAAGAATTACTTAAATAAGAATATGCTTATTCACAGAGAAAACAGTCATGTGTGTGAGGTATGCAACAAGTCATTTAATCAAAAGGGTAACTTAAATAGACATATGTTTATACACACAGGACGGAAACCTTATATGTGTGAAGTTTGCAAGACATCATTTAGTCAAAAGAATACTTTAATTAGCCATATGCTTTTTCACACAGGAGAAAGGCCCTATGTGTGCGAGGTATGCAACAAGTCATTTAATCTAAAAGGTGGCTTAAATAGACATATACTTATTCACACAAGACAAAAACCTTATATGTGTGAAGTATGTAAGACATCATTTAGTCAAAAGAGTACTTTAAATATCCATATGCGTATTCACACTGCAGAAAAGCCTTATGTCTGCGAGGTGTGCAACAAGTCATTTAATCGAAAGGGTGACTTAGATAGACATACGCTTATACACACAAGACAGAAACCTTATATGTGTGAAGTATGTAAGACATCATTTGCTAGAAAGAATACTTTGAATACACATATGCTGATTCACACAGGTGAAAAGCCTTATGTGTGCGAGGTATGCAACAAGTCATTTAATCAAAAGGGTGGCTTAAATAAACATATGCTTATTCACACAAGACAGAAAACTCATATGTGTGAAGTTTGCATGACATCATTTAGTCAAAAGAATACTTTAAATAGGCATATGCTGATTCACACAGGCGAAAAGCCTCATATGTGTGAGGTATGCAACAAGTCATTTAATCGAAAGGCTCGCTTAAATAAGCATATGCTTATTCACACATGACAGAAACCACGTGTGAATTATGTAAGACATCATTTAGTTAAAAGAGCACTTTAAATATCCATATTCATATTCACACTACTGAAAAGCCTCATGAGGTATGCCACAAGTCATTTAGTCAAAAGGTTGATGTAAATATGCATAATTTTATTTACACAAGAAAGAAACCGTATTTCGTCTGAGATAAGTCATCATTAAGTCAAAACGGTACTTTAAATATGCATGTGTGTATTCAAACTGGAGAAAAGCCTTATGTGTATGAGGTATGTAACAAGTCATTTATTCAGAAGTGTCCCTTAAATACGCATAGGGTTATTCACATGAGAAATTAACCTTATATGTGTGAAGTATGTAATACATTTAGTCAAAAGAGTACTTTAAATAACCATATGCATATTCAGGATTGAAGAAAAGCCTCATGTGCAAGGTATGCAACAAGTCATTTAATCGAAAGGTTAATTTAAATATACATATGCTTATTTACGTAAGACAGAATATTATATGTGTGAAGTATGTAAGACATCATTTAGTTAAAAGAGTACACATATATGCTTATTAACACAAGACAAAAGTCTCATTTGTGCAAGGAATGTGACAAGTCATTTAGTAGAGAGAATGACTTAGATATAGGGGTGTTTGTGCTCCGGGGAAACCCCAGAATTCCGGGGATTTTGAACTTCGATACCCGGAAATTTCGGGGATCGTCGTTCGAAAGAAAGTAGGAATAATAATGAATTATTTATTTTGATCTGGGTAATTTTGTTTGCTTTGAAAGAAGAAAACGCAAGGTCAGTGTGTGTGGTGAAAACTTTTCCTTTCTTTCTCCAAAGGCAGTGATAATGCGTGAAAAGGGGGAAAAAACTTTTTTGTTCTTTCCTTATTGCGAGTTACGACTCGTTCCCCCGGTTCTCGGACATTCTCTTCTGGATTCTTTTCGGCAAGTAGGCGCGGCAGAAAAAAAAGGGAGAGACTTTGTTCGACCAGATGTGCGATCGCGTGACTCTGGGTTCGAAGGTCTTAACTCTCCTGGCGTGGCGCCAATAAGTAGAGAAGACTTGTGGCATTCGCTGTATTGGCTATTTGTCATTGATTGCTTCTCAACTTTTTTTCTCCGCTGTGTAAAATTTTCGTTTCGTTTATTGATGCACGTGTAAATTTTTCGTTTCGTTTATTGAAATATTTTTTTATTTATGTACGCAAGAGAATTTCACTATGAAATTTCTCGATATAAATAGTGATATTATACAATTAGAAGAAGGTGTCTGGAATGCATTTAGGTGGAATTGGATTGAACGGAGATATGGTAATGGGGATACCATCAGCACATGGTGCAAGAAAATAAATGTTGCTGGACAAGCATATTGTGTTTTTTGTAACTCACTGCTGAAGTATGGTGGAGAAGGATTCAAGGCTTTCACAAATCATTCTAAAACTGTGACACACATAAAAATATTCAAAGTGCATTAGACATTCAATGACTTTAAGTAATTATGCTAATTCAAAAAATACTGATGACTTGCTGGAGACTGATGCTCGGCCATTGGATATAGTGACAAAAAAAGCACGCCAAGAGGTATTAATAACTTCGTTTATCGCCGAGAATTCCCTTTCTTTCAATGTAGCTCCCAATTTAATTGAACTCTGCAAACAGTTGAGCCGCGATCAGACGGCACTAAACTCGTTGGAAATGTCTAGGACTACTGCATGTTATAAGATGAAATATGGGCTCGCAAAAACTATTAAGGAAAATATCATTAAAACTTTAAAGGAGACTCCATTTTCTCTAAATTTGGATGAAAGTACTAGCAATGCTCAAGAAAGTATACTGGCAATATTGGTGCAGTTTTATGACAACAATCAAAATGAAGTTGTAGTTCATCATTTTGCATCTCTAAAGATGGAATCTTGCAATTCAGAAGCTGTTTTTAAAGCAGTTGTTAATACTATTGAAGATAATAATATTCCATGGGCAAACTTAATTAGTGTATTAATGGACTCGTGTGACACCATGCGTGGAAAAAAAAGGGTGTTTGAAACCAGACTACGATCAAACAAAGCACCCCACTTATTAAATATTGATGGTGACACACATGTCACACAGCTAATAACTGTGCAAAAAAAAATTGCTTCATGTTTTGATAAATACTTAGAAGATTGTTTGTGACATCTATTTTGATATGAAAAGCTGCAGTAAAAGAGAAAATTTTTTCAAAATCTGTGAATCCCTTGTCATTAAAAAACTTAAGCCCTTGAAGAGACCAGACCATAGGTGGGTGTACATTTATGTTGTTTTAGAAAGAATCAAAGGTCTGTGGGATGCTCTTATTGCATTTATTTTCACTACTTGGATAAAACTGATAAAGGGGATTATTTTTCTTATGTTGAAACCTGTATACAATAAAAGAAATATTTCTGCAGCTCAGAAAAAAAATTGTTGAAGGGGTGTATTTTTGCTTGCATTCCCAACAACTCACAAAGGATGCTTTAGCTCGAAAAAAAAGAATACTAAATGGGTTATTTGTTATGCAAAACAAAACTTTATTGCATATGGCATTATATTCAGCAGTATTACTAGAGTTCAACACATATATTAAATTATTTGAAAAAAAAAAAAAAAAACCAATGCTTTACTTAATACATTCCAGTATTTATAAATTGATGGCAAAATTTTTCTCTTTTTTTATGAAGCCAGAAAATATAGAGTGCACATCTTATAATGATTTATTAAAGGTTGATGTCACAAATCCAGAATTCCATCTACCTGGCCAAAGTAATATTTACTGGTGCAGAAGCTTCCACTCTCCTGAAGAAATTATCAAAAAATCATCCAATAGCAAAAGAATTCCAAATTTCTCTGATGAAAGCTTATACTAATACAGCACAGCATATGAAACAGAAATTACCCCCTTAAAAATTCATATCTAATTAGTTTAACAGCATTAGATCCAGAGCTAAGAAGTAAAACCAGTACAATATTAGCTTTTGAAAAATTATCATCTTTTATGTCCCATATTTTTAGTGATAATGAAAAGTCAAAAGTAGAAACTGAAATAAGGTTATACCAGAGTGATATTGATATCACCAAAGAAATGCTTTACACATCTGATGAAAGTGGAAATCAAGTCAAGTGTACAATTGATAAATATTGGTCTAAAGTTTTTAATTTAAAAGATGATTTCACAAATGATTATAAGTATCCTACATTGGCTAAATTGGTCAAAGCCTGCCTTAGCTGCTTCCATGGCCTTTCAACGGGTAAAAACTTGTTTTATATCTCTAGAGTAAACCCAAGATAAGTCTCTTTGAAATAGAAATGAAAAGGTATTTTCTGCATTTTTAGACATGATACATAGTCACCATGATACATTTTGCTTCCACCCTGTTGACAGTCATCTTCTTCTAAAATCATCCCTATAAAGTGATGCGTTTTTTTCCGCCCTGTGAATTTTGCAACCACATGTGCATTTATTAAGCTAACTTCTGTCAAAGGTAATTTCATTGTATTGCATTCATCCATTTTCAGAATTTTGCTAGGAATTTCGTCATCTGTGTCAGAACAGACATCGTTAACTTTCAGTCTCTTAAAAGAGGATTTAGACTGATTTATGTTGGAACATCCAGGTTGATCAGGAGCTACTAATAGGACTCCTTTATGATATCTGTGTGAAGAAATATCAGTTGGCATACACAAGAAACAACTTAATCTTCTGAAACACAGAACATTAGATTCTGCTCTGGCCCACAAAACTTGGTGCACTTTCATTGTACCTATAAACTTTTCTACTTCTTCTTTTAGACTTTCACGAAGTGTACTGAATTCAATTTCTATTTTTTAACAATAGTCATAATAAAAAATAGATTTATTTTATTTTTTGATGCAATAGAGATAACTGTTATTGTGATTTCTTTCTGCATAAATGATGTTATAATGAAATGTAAACTATCAAAGTAGTGTGTTATTGATCTTCATTTCGTCAGTGCCATATATATGTAGCTAAATGCTTTCTCTATTAAGACAGAGAAAATCAGTCTCCAAAATGCTGCTTAAGGTCATTCCTGTTATCGCATTGGCGAATGAATGAGTCGAAATATTATTGTTGGCACGTGACAATGAACTTTTGAGAAGAAGATAAACCAGTTGTGTCAAATTCTTCAAGGGGGAATTTAAGATACCATGATACATCTACTATACCACATTTTAAGTCTTAGAAAATGTATACAACGGTAGCCTTACAGTTTCGCATTTAATATAGAAGCATTTAAGTTTCGAAGTTCATCGACTATATCAAGGACATGTTTCGATAGTTATGAAAAGGCAAGAATCAGTTGGAATTTTGAAATACCTGAAAATTTTAATTTTGCTGCGGATGTTCTTGATGTCTGGGCTTACAAGGAAAAGATAAGACACGAACATGTGCAATTTTTTATGACAAATGCTTAACTTGACCTGGAAAACAAGCATTTAAAAAAATTATATTTAAGTTATTTTTATTTGTTATTCAATTAGGGAACACAGAGAAAGCTTTACCTTTCGTATTTTATCGTTTATCCATATTGTAGAAATTCAGATTATTTTTATAGTTATCATAATATATCTAAGTTTACTGCAGTTATTCTGCATTAGGTGTTATTATACCACCAATAAGAAAGTAAAGATGTGTTAGGATTTGCAAAAAATTTTCTGTTAATAAATATTTCCTGCCTAACTGATTTTATGATATCTTTGTATATTTAACAGAAAGAGTACTGAAAGATAGCATTGAAAGAAATATGAATATTAATTTAGTTTTATCAAAAAGAATTTAAACTTGAAACTAAACACTTAAAACGCATGTCCTTTTTCAGACTTCTTTTTTACATGCATGCTTTATTGTTTCTTTTACATGCATGCCATGTAATTTGCGCATGCGTCTTTATATTTTTCATTTCTCTCTTTATACACAAAAATGCGTGAAACAAGGAAAAATAAGTGAAAGAATGCAATAAAAATTTGGTAACTTTTCATTATTCCTTTATTACAAAAAATATAAAATAGTTTATTGTATATCAGATGTGAACTATCTGTGAAAAGTATATTTAAAAATTTTCTTTATTCCTACGGGGGAAAATTTCTGCTACGTCCCGAAACCGAGCTTAACTTACCATTTTACATTCTCTTGTAGAGCAGTGTTTCTCAACTGCCAGTCCGCAAACACTATTCGCCAGTCCTTCCAAATTCAGATGTATTGTGTATGACAATATACCTACCGTCGTTTATGAAAGAAAATAATTAAAAATCTGACAGGCATACTGTGCAATGCATTAACTCAAGCTTTCTCAACGTATCTGTTGTTGTCTGTTTAATTTACATTCATTAGTATTAGGAGACCTATTGTTGTATCATGAACATGTATTTGCGGGTAACGAGTACTCTAAAACAAGACATATTCGTTTTCAGTGGTGAAACGCTTATTATTTTTTGAAGTCCGCTGAATAATGACAGCTGTATTATTAGTGTAATAAATAGAACGAACTTCTTTAAATAATTTTATTTACAAAAAGCAGAAGTTAAGCAAATGACAACGAAGTTTTTTAATCAAATTCAATTGCTATTATGAAACTTGAGCAAAGAAAAACGATGTGAAGAGGTTGAAATTTTTGTATTTGAAGGTTGGCAACACTAGAATGTGCTCACATTTGTCGCTTGTTACATCTTGCAATTTTTTTAAAACTAGACGGAGAGCTCGCAGCAGAGAAAGGGTTAAGGTCCATTTCCACTACTGCGTGCGAACGCGTTGCATCAGTTGAAGACACGCCTACGGCATTCG